AACGTGCACTTGAGGGGAAAACAGAAGTTGGCAGACAAGTGGGAATCACTTGTATATGTTGTTGTGAAAAGAGCGGGTGATCTCCCAGTGTACACTGTCAAGCCAGAGGGTAAAGAAGGCCCTCTAAGAACACTTCACAGAGACCTTTTACTGCCTTGTGATTTGTTACAGTTACCTGAGGAAGTACTTGCATTGCCCAGTACTCGGAAACGTCCTCCAACTCGTAAAAACCCCTGTAACAAAGTACAAGACCAGGTAGATTTTGACTCTGATGATGATGACAGCAGCTTAGAGCTGATGCACAGTGATCTTCTAATACCGACGAACATAACGTTTACTGAGGTTTATGAAGCTGGAACCGGGTCACAAACTGAGGTTCCCTCAATTCCAATAGTTCAAGACACTGTCGGTCACATTTCAACTGAAAATCTACCTGTTTCAGCAGACAGTCCGATCGAATGTTTACCTGAAATAGAGAATTTTCAAATAGACAATGCACCTACCTTGAATGTTCTACCTGTTGATGATCCAGATGTTGCGGAGTCTGATGAAAACTTACCTGCAGAGGTTCCTGTCAATTTAGGTGACCAGCAAATACCTGTAGGGGAAACTGTAAAAGTTAGTGAGCATGAAACTAAAACGAAGAAACATGAAAATGATGGTAATGTTATCAGGAAGTCTGATAGAGTTAAGCAGAAACCACGGATTTTTACTTATCCTGAATTGGGTAACCCGTTGGTCTCTATAGTGCAGTCTCTTTTTCAGAGTCTTAGCACGGCTGTGACTGACTCCATCATTGAAAACAACAGCTTTACAAAGGCAGCTGATGCAGTAGTCACACAGCCTGTTAGTTTCATGCACAGAGACGTGCATAGCGTTAACGGGGGAGGGTGTAATCCATAGTATTACAAATAGAAATAAAAGAAAGATATATGCAATATAAACTGATATACATTTAGCTTAATTAATAAATTAAAAACCCGATTAATAGATTAATTTAAAAGTACTTCATAAATAGAATTCAAGTTTAAATCTTAAAATTGCCTCAAGGTATTTTTTGTTTCCTGTTTGTTTATTGTTGATGATTTAGTTTTATTTTCTGAATTTTGTGAATTGTGAAGATGTATATTGTTACTTTGCCCTTAAGAGGTTAAATTTGAGCTCACCACTGACCTATCAGGTGAAAGGAAATACGTGCAGCGGAACGACGTAAACAACGTCAGTGACGTCAGAGGAAGAAACGGAAGAGAAGCGATCGCATGGAAGCTGAGATCAAAAAGCTAATCCAGCGAGAAACGAGTGAAATCCTGTCTTTTAAACTTGACAGAACGTCTAGAAAGATATTGATAGTGATTCATCGGACCTGATTGTTTGTTGATCTTGCGATATTACTTTGATATTGATGCGGATGCAGCGAGGACACGGATCGCGGTTGTCATCGCGTGCAATGAGATGGCGGGCCACCCAACGGATCTCGATTGAACACATTCACGGTGAAATTGCAGCAATTGCACCTGTTGTTTAATGTTTCATCTTCAAGACAGAACTGTGCTGGATGACAGAGTAAGCTGGCATCACACTTTCTTCCTTTCCACCTGTACTGTGGTATGTTCTGGGCAGCAGGACGGTAGGACTCAATTTATGGATTGAAATCGAAACAATACTTTTCCTCGTGATTTCAGAGACTGATATATAAAGTCTACAACAAAGACTGTTGGAATTAGCCTTCACTGAACCTTTTGTCATTTTTTCTGAGAGTTATATTGTTTCATTATTGTTTTTCATTTGCACTTTATTAGTGTGAAGACAAATTGTTATTTTATTTCATAATTGTGATTTATTCATTGTCATTTGGGGTATTTATCTTTTGTTTTCCAAGCTGAGTTGAAAATTTGAGTATTTTGCTTAAACTAACATAAAATTAGCTGATACTACATGTAGTTTACTTCTAATAGAATAAAGTAATATAATTAGGACACGTCAATTAGCTATAAATAAAAATAGGTCAAACGTTGTACTTAAAATAAGCTAAAATATATATATAAAACCATAAAATTGAAATAAATAAACCAGTTTGTCAGAGAGAAAGAAAAGATTAAATAAGAGGTTTTCAAGAAAGGAAAAAAAGAGACAATTTATTCTTTTGTTTATTTGGTTTTCATTTTTTATTATCATTAAGAGGGTTTATTGATAACCAAGTTTTTTCTTTAAAAGAAGTTGTTCTTCTTTATTGTTGTTTTTTTTTCCTCTGGAAAGAGAAATTAAGACAATTATTATTTTTATTTCTTTCTTTATTATATAAAGTTCATTATAGTTGAAACTAATCTCTGTTGTCTGTTCTCTTTAGTCGGTCTCTCATTTCTGCTCCTACGAACCTACAGTACTGGTCCACGTTTTCCCTCAGGTTCACGCAGTCTAAGCAGTTGTAGTGACGTGGGTGACCTGAGGGTGGCGCTACACGGTAGAATAGAGAGGGCGGCATCCGCGACAGCTCCCTAACTAAAAAAAATACCTAAGAACAAAGTAACTAGGGTCATAAGATCACAATTATGATTTTCAATCTAGTCTCATGCGAAGGTTTGGCCACACTTTATAATTTTCATAACAGCAAGCCATAGCCTGCAGCCCTTTCAAATCAGCAAATCCATTTCATTTGAATATGTTGTGTACTCTGGGGAAAAGCAACATTTCAGTTCTGGCATAACATTTATTTAATCAACAGATGCAATGCAAATTTCAATTCTAACAAAAACAGACAGGTGCAAAAATGTACGCAACCCAACAGAATAATGTCATCAATTTTTTTGTACAGCCCCCATTTGCCGAAATAACAGCCTGTAGATAGTCTTCTTATAGTCAATGATCAAATCCTGAATTCTTGCTGAAGGCATTTTGGGCCATTTTTTTTTTTTGCAAAATGTGTCCAGTTCAGTCAGGTTTGATGGGTGCCAAGCATGAACGATCCTTTTCAAATTAATCCATAGATTTTTGATGATGTTCAAGTATGGGGACTGGGATGGCCATTACAGAACATTGTATCGTGGCTGAGCATGAATTACTTGGTAGATCTGGAACTGTGCTTTTAGTCATTGTCCTGCGTAAACATGCAACCCTGCCATAACTTCAGCCTCTTGACTGATTTCTGAACATTGTTCTTCAGAATCTGCTGATACTGCGTGGAATCCATGCAACCATTGACTTTGACAAGGTTTCCAGTACCTGTGTTTGCCATACATCTACACAGCATGATGAATCCTCCACCATATTTTACATTAGGGAGCATGTTCTCCTCCTGGACTTATGTGTTCTTTTTGCATTATGCAAAGCACCCATGGTTATGGCATCTGTCCACAGTATATTTTTCTAAAATTGATTCAGGCTTGTCCAGATGGGCCTTTGCATATCTCAAACAACTCTTCTTGTTGGCAGAATGCAGAATACAGTCTTTTTCTGCATCACCTTCCTTTAAGCTGTTCTTTGTAAAGAGTTTGCTGGACTGTGGAACGATGTATAATGACATTATCAGCAGAAAGATGTTCCTGGAGCTCTTTGGAGTTGGTCTGTGGTTTGTCTGTGACCATTCTAACCATTCTTCGCCTTTGCCTTTCCGATATTTATCTTGGTCTAGCTTCTTTCCTTCTTATATTTGTGGAGATAGAGCCTTTAAACCTTTGCGATAGCTTTTTGTGTCCTTCTCCTAATTCATGTTGGTGAATTATCCTAATTTTTAGGTTACTAGGAACTTCTTTTGAGGTTTCCATGTTGCTACTTTCGGTTTCACAATAAGGAGACACACAACTAACAATCGGCTATCTTTAATATCCCTTTTCAGGATTGGTGACACCTGTGTTAGGACTGCTGCAGTTCACTGAGTCACTAAAATCAATTTTGTGTTGAAATCAATCAGCATTGAGTGACCACAAGTTTTGAAATCCCCACAAAAGAGAGGGTGGCCAACTTTTGCATAGGCTACTTTTCAGTTTCAATTTAATTTCACCCATCTCCAGGTAGAAGGAAAGTCTTTACCCCAGGTGGAGGAGTTCAGGTTTATTGGGGTTTTGTTCACGAGTGAAAGAAGGATGGAACATGAGGTTGACAGGCGGATTGGTGCAGCGGCAGCGGTAATGTTGTGGTCAAGAAGGATCTGAGCCGAAAGGCAAAGCTCTCGATTTACTGGTCAATCTAGGTTCCTACTCACACCTATGGTCATGAGCTTTGGGTCATGATTGAAAGTACAAGATCTCAGATATAAGCGGCCGAAATTAGTTTCCTTCACAGGGTGGCAGGGCGCACTCTTATAGACTGTAAGGAGATGTCACGAGGGAGTAGAGCCACTGCTCCTACCCATCGAGAAAAGTCAGCTGTGGTAGCTCGGGCATCTGTTTCGGATGCCTCCTGGATGCCTACCTAGGGAGGTGTCCCAGGCATGTCCCAACAGGAGGAGGCATCAGGGAAGACCCACGACATGCTGGAGGGACTATGTCTCTCGGATGGCCTGCGAACGAGGAAGTTTCTGGGGATAGGGAAGTCTGGAGTTCTCTCTTAAAACTGCTGCCTCCATGACCTGGCCCCAGATAATCTTCTCTTATAAAGAAAGTGCAAAGAATTATGCCACAAGAGAGGGGGGCCCAATTTTTTTGCATTAAACTGTTTATTTATTTATGTATGTATGTATGTATGTATGTATGTATGTATGTATGTATGTAAGTATGTATGTATGTATGTATGTATGTATGTATTTATTTATTTATTATTTTCCTGGAACAGCTGCCAATTTAAATAACTAAACCGTGAAATATATCAATACCATGACATAAAATCACTCATATCCTGAAATAGCATTTTGGCTATATCAGTCACTCCTAATCTCAGCAGCTAATATCAATCTAAGCAGCATCTGACCCAAGCAAAATCATGCCGTGTAAAATGAGCTTATGAAAGCCACTACATTTAATTCTGTAAGAGTAAAACAGAATAAAGGCATACAAAGTCAAACTCACCGATGAGTCTGGTGTAGGAGGCGAGGCAGGCCTGGTAGTCGTCATTGAGGCAGCTGCTGATGGAGTGAGGGGTCATCTGACAGTTTGTGTGGAAATCAGCCAGTCGTGACCTTGCCACAAAAACACAGCAAAGCAACATCAAACTGCATGAAAAACAAAGCGAACTCAGTCTATAGCTTTGCCTACATGGGTAAAGTCTGTGCATGTTTATGCCTGAAGAAACCAGCAGCAGCCCACAAAGGACAGAGTTTAAGTTCACACATCACTGCTCTTTCCTCAAGATAAAGGAAAATCATGACCATCTCTCTCTCTATGGCTGTCTTTCATTCCCCCTATCCCTCCGTCCACCAGTTAGTCATCGTTGCCAACCATGTGGTTGAGAGGCATCCTGGAGGTCAAGCAGAAGACCGGAAATCCCGTCTTTAGCATGAGAGACCCCTGAACTCTTGTCTGATAGTCATTTCTCTCTGTCTTAGCCTTCCGCTCTCTGTCTGTGTAAGGCAATAAATAAACCACTCGCAGTTTGTTGTTGTGGAGAATTTTAAACACTGTCGGACTAGTTTACAGAGTCCATTGACATGCAGTGTTTACGTTGGCCTCGTCCAGGACAGCAGTGCTGTGTGGGCCAACAAGTGAACATTTCTCAGCGCCCACACACAACAGCAGTCCAGCCACACACATATACACAGACACAACATCGTCTTCTGGCCTTTGCATTTACAGTCTCTGCTGTGCTGTCGTTTCTTATCTGAACACTTGAACTGTAGATGTTTTCAGTTACATACTGACATCTACATTGGAGCCAGCATAGAAATGGGGCCTGAAATATTAGCATTTTTATAAATAGACATTTTTACACACGTCCATGTGTTTATTTGGCAGCAGCTACAGTATTATTCTGCAGCTCTCACATGGTTGATCATTGAAGATAAACCTCCTGGTAAAACAATACAGAAAGAGGTTTTTAAAAATAATAATAATATTAATTCAAATTTATTTTTTTAACTTATTAAATGCTTTACAAGTTTGCATTTTACAATGACAATAACTAGTTAATTTCTCCTAAAATTATTCTATTTTTACTTTTTTTTTTTCAAGATTTTTTAATTGAATGGCAAGTACAACCGATAAGTATTTAATAGAAACGGTATTCACCTTTAACTGCCAAATGGTCAACCATAGTTTGACTGTTTTAAACATTAAAGTAATTTAAAGAATGACTGTTTTAAATAATGGTTTACACTACACAGCACTGTTGGTTTACAAAGGAATCAAACAAACATAATCCTGTTGCACTACTAAACTTCAGTTTGGCTTTATTGTAAAAAAAAAAAAGCAAGAAAGCATGTTAAATGAGAATCTGAAATGTTTTATGGCATATTTAAAAAAAAAAATAAAGATGATCATACACCCGGTGCAATAAAGTGCAGGACGCGTTTGGCACAATGTGTTCCTATTTTCAAACCAGCGCAACAGTCATTTTCCCGCTTTTTGGCATGTTGTTTAAATAGCAAGTTCATTTGCGCCACTTTGTGGACTCGTGGGAGTTCCGGTCTAGAAAAGAGGTGTGTTAAGGCGCATTGTTGGAGCATTGCTATTTTGAGGAACTAAAATACGCTGTGCGATGGACCAGCTGAAAGCATGTCTAAAATCCAGCACAGAGCGCCTTAAACGCTCACACTTTGCTAAATACACACAGGATGTACAGCACTACACAAATATCTCTACAAATAAAAAATCATTAAAGGATTCAAATATTGCTATATATATATATATATATATATATATATATATATATATATATATATATATATATATATATATATATATATATATATACAATTTAATACATAAATATAAAAACCACTACCTTCATGCCTTCATCAGTTTATTCATGAAATACCACCATAGGGTTAAACCGAATTATTCCGTCCTTAAAATAGCAAAAGTAGATTTGGACATCCCCTTAATGCTTTTGCGCCCTGATCTACAGGCTTTTCATGTAGATCATTGAAATAGAGCCCTTGGTGTTTAAAACTGTTTAAGTTTGTTTTTAAATAAATTGGTCTTATACTTAATATTTTTCATAGCATATGTATTGATTCTGGTACTTTTACCATAAACCGACATATCTACCATTTGGTAGAGGTTGATATTTTAGAAATTATGGGATACAAATGGGGAAAATGCATTGAGTTTGTTAACGAGCGACATTAGGAATTATGAAATGCAATCCAAAAAGTTAAAGTCAGGATTATTAATCCCCCTTGCTTTTTTTTTCTCCTTTTTAAATGTTTTCCTAATCATATTTAACAGAGCAACGACATTTTTACAGTATGTCTGATGTATATATATTTTTTTCTTCTGGAGAAAGTCTCATTTGTTTTATTCTGGCTAGAATAAAGAAAAAAGGTTTTAAAAGTTTTAAGGTCAATATTATTAACCCTTTTGGACTATATATATATATATATATATATATATATATATATATATAAATATGTAAATGTATATATGTTTGTGTATATATATATATATATATATATATATATATATATATATATATATATATATATATATATATATATATATATATTTATATATATATATATATATATATATATATATGTATATATATATGTACATATAACTTTTTTTCTTCAACCTTGGCAAACACTGCACTTCAAGTCCCCTTTATTGTAATCTAAAGTTAGATTTAGAGAAGCTTGATGCGACTCTCCTAGGAATAAACTCTCCTACAAAACACAGATCCCGTCCCAGCAGCAGCCTCCGGTGTGTGTTTAATTCATATAGCCTCCCTCCTCTGTAAACGCACCTTTTAATTAGCATACCGCTAAAGACCCTGCTGTGATTTACATGTCTAATTACATCTGTTCACGCTGCTGGAATCAAATGGAGAAGTGCAAAAAATATTGATGTAGCAGTTGGGTTCCCAACATGATGGAAATACTTGAAAGAATAGAGGCTGGAAGTCATAAAACTTCACAAAAACTTTTCCAGCTCCCTGTTCTTACTTGACAAACAGGCAAGATGTTTTATATACAGTCAAACATCTGCAATATATTTTTTGGGTTGTTTTTCCAAAGCAAAACCACCAATTGCTAATGAAATACATACTTGACAGAGTTTTGGCGGCAAAGGCAAAGTTTATTGAAATCCATTTACTTATAAATAATGAAAATGCTTCTATCCTGCATAAATGATTGCATGGGTTTCTGTGGAAAATCAACTGGTTCTTTTTACCCTGAAATATTTCTTCATGAATTTGGTGCTAGAGTCTGTTATGAATAAATCTCACTTTAACTCAGTTAATCAGCAGGGTTGTATGGTAAAGTTCTCAGTGATAATTAACAATTACTACATATATGTTACACAGTTTACAGTTTTCAGAAAATGACAACCAGTCTATATTATAAATCTAGGAGATAAAAAGGGATAATGAAAGATCATCATCTTCAGCTGAACCTCGCAAAAACGGAAATGCTTGTAGTTTCTGCCAACCCGACTCTACACCATAACTTTTCAATCCAGATGGATGGGGCAACCATTACTGCATCCAAAATGGTGAAAAGCCTTGGAGTAACGATTGATGACCAACTAAACTTCTCTGACCACATTTCTAGAACTGCTCGATCGTGCAGATTTGCACTCTATAACATCAGAAAGATCCGACCCTTCTTATCTGAACATGCAGCTCAACTCCTTGTTCAAGCTCTTGTTCTCTCCAAACTGGATTACTGCAACTCTCTACTAGCTGGGCTTCCAGCTAACTCTATCAAGCCTCTTCAACTGCTCCAGAATGCAGCAGCACGAGTTGTCTTCAATGAACCTAAACGAGCACATGTCACTCCGCTGCTAGTCCGTTTGCACTGGCTGCCAGTTGCTGCTCGCATCAAATTCAAAACTCTGATGTTTGCCTACAAAGTGACTTCTGGCCTAGCACCTTCTTATCTGCACTCACTTCTGCAGATCTATGTGCCCTCCAGAAACTTGCGTTCTGTGAATGAACGTCGCCTCGTGGTTCCATCCCAAAGAGGGAAAAAATCACTTTCGCGAACGCTCACGCTCAATCTGCCCAGTTGGTGGAATGAACTCCCTAACTGCATCAGAACAGCAGAGTCACTCGCTATTTTCAAGAAACGACTAAAAACTCAACTATTTAGTCTCCACTTCACTTCCTAAGCTGCAATTGCCTCTTTGAATATCACACTAATTGTACAAAAAAAAAAAAAAAAAAAAAAAAAAACTACTAACACTTCCCTTCTTAGACTTTACAGACCTGAAACTTGCCTTTAGTACTTATTCATTGTTGCTCTTAGTTGTGTAAATTGCTTCCTTGTCCTCATTTGTAAGTCGCTTTGGATAAAAGCGTCTGCTAAATGACTAAATGTAAATGTAAAATGGATAAAACACAAGTAACTTGCCAATATATTAAAAGGATACGTACCTATACTTTTTAACACAAATAAATTCAACAAAAAATCTGTTGAGGAAATGTTAAATGAGCAATATTACACGAGTAGCATAGTATATCAGTACTTGGGAAGCGTGCATTGGCACGAGGTCTAATATTGACGGTATACAGCCACATTGCACTGCTACGAGTGCGATATTGTGTTTATACAACAGTTTGGCGGCAAAATTGTGTGTATAAAAAAAACCTCAAACACAGTGTCTAAAAACCTTTTTTATTAGGAACTACTTTCTTTCACCATTCATTCATATCTGCAGCAGACATCTGAACATCAGAAGCCATTTCTAATTCACCAATATCACTTTAAAGCTAGTGTTTGAATGATTCTCTATAGCTTAGTATTACAGTCTATTACAGTGTACAGTATTTCTCTGTTGCAATCGGAACATCACAACATTTAACCTCGAAAAAAGCAGTGCAATCACCACCAGATTGATGTTGAGTTTGCAATTGGGAAAAACTCTAAACACATGCGGGCATTTTTTCTTATTTTCTGCCAACACAACAAATATTCCTGATATGCGAATATGTACACTATAATTATATGGTATAAATACAGTACTACAATATACAAAGGAGAGAGATCGACATAGAAAATTACCTGTTTAATAATGATTT